GGTACTCTTGGTGTCCCGCCGCGGCGGGAGCCTCTCTCTCCACAGCAGCTTCGTGAGTGGTACTCTCGGCTCTGTCGGGGTACTGCTGGGGCTTCTGGAGGTGCTGCTGGTGCTGGTGCTGCTGGAGTTGCTGCTGGTGCTGGAGGTGCTGCTGGTGCTGGGGGTGCTGCTGGAGCTTCTGGAGGTGTTGCTGGTGCTGGTGGTGCTGGAGGTGCTGGCGCTGCTGGAGGTGCTGCTGCTTCTGGAGGTGCTGCTGGTGCTGGCGCTGCTGGAGGTGCTGCTGGTGCTGGAGGTGCTGCTGGAGCTTCTGGAGGTGCTGCTGGTGCTGGTGGTGCTGGAGGTGCTGCTGGAGGTGCTGGCGCTGCTGGAGGTGCTGCTGGTGCTCGAGGTGCTGCTGGGGCTTCTGGAGGTGCTGTTGGTGCTGGTGTTTCTGGAGGCGCTGCGCGGCCGCGGCCGTACTACGTTCCGCTCCTTCAGCAGGTTCTTAGCTCACCGCCTTCTCCTGGTCCTCCTCCTTTCATGAGTTCGCCGCCTGTCCGGTCCCAGTCACAGTTGCAGCCGGCCTCTCCACTGCCTGGTCCTTACTCTGGACCGACTAGAGGTCTTACGGATCGTCGTGAGCCTGAGTCTCGTCCTGTGTCGCCTGGGTCTCATGCTACGTCGCCTGTCCGTACTGTTCGCGCTGGTCGTGTTTCGCGTCCGCGTCTCCCTCCTGTCCCTGGCACTCACTCTATGACTCTGCGTCCTTCTACCGCTCCACAGCGTGTCCCTCTGCCGTCTCCTCCTGCATCCTCTCTTCCTGACGGTCCGGACCCGCAGTCTGACTCCCTTCGTGCTGCTAGTCCTACTGTCACGCGCTTTCTGGCCACTGCTGTCACTGACCCTCTGTTTGAGTCCACTGCTGCGTCTGCTCTCGTTGCTGAGCTTGTTGACTTTGCTGCTGCCTGTCGCCTAGACTTCGCCACTAGTCTTGTTGCTGAGTCTGCGTATGTGTCTGTCTGTCCTCCGTCCGTCGGGGGTGAGTGTGCTCTTGGCACGGACGTTCTTGAGGACAGACAGGAGGAGTTTGAGTGCTTTGCTGCTTCTGTACCTCATCTCGTGTCCATGCTTCTGGCCCCTGAGGGAGACCCCGCGCTCTTACGCAGAGGCGATAGAGGGTCCCTACTCCTCTCAGTGGCAGGCAGCCATGGACGCAGAGATGGCTTCCTGGAAGTCCACAGGCACCTACGTAGACGAGGTTCTCCCACCTGGGGCGAACATTGTCAGTGGCATGTGGATCTTCAGGGTGAAGCGGCCGCCGGGTTCTCCGCCTGCCTTCAAGGCGCGTTACGTTGCACGTGGCTTCAGTCAGCGACAGGGAGTTGACTTCTTTCAGACCTTCTCCCCTACCCCGAAGATGACCACTCTTCGGGTACTGCTGCACGTTGCTGCTCAGCGTGACTACGAGCTCCACTCGCTTGACTTCAGCACAGCCTTCCTACAGGGCAGCCTGCACGAGGAGATCTGGCTGAGCCGCCCACCTGGCTTCACTGGGTCGTTTCCAGCTGGTACCCAGTGGAGCCTCCGGCGGCCTGTCTACGGTCTTTGTCAGGCACCCCGTGAGTGGCACGACACACTCAGGACGACTCTTGCTGCTCTTGGTTTTGCTCCTTCCACTTCTGACCCTTCTCTGTTTCTACGCACTGACGCTACTCTGCCGCCGTTCTACGTTCTCGTGTACGTAGACGACCTCGTCTTTGCTACTGCTGACACGGAGGCACGCGCCCACGTGAAGTCCGAGCTGCAGAAGAGACACACGTGCACAGACCTTGGTGAGCTGACAAGCTATCTTGGCTTGCGGATCACCCGGGACAGAGCACAGCGCACCATTACCTTGACTCAGTCACACATGGTGGAGCAGGTCCTTCAGCGCTTCGGATTCACTTACTCCTCGCCACAGTCCACTCCTCTGCCTACTGGTCACTCGCTCTCAGCTCCACCTTCGGAGGAGTCCGTAGAGCCGAGTGGCCCGTATCCAGAGCTTGTGGGCTGCCTCATGTACCTGATGACTTGCACACGACCTGACCTCGCATACCCTCTCAGCCTTCTGGCTCGCTACGTGGCTCCCGGCAGGCACCGAAAGGTGCACTAGGATGCTGCGAAGAGGGTGTTGTGATACTTGTGCAGTACGTCAGGCATGGGGCTCGTGCTTGGAGGGCGGGCTCGAGTTGTCCTCACTGTTCACGCTGACGCCTCCTGGGTTGACGACTTGGCTACGCAGCGGTCGTCACAGGGTCACACCTTCAGTCTTGGCTCCGGTTCTGTCTCTTGGCGGTCTACCCGTTCTTCTTCTGTTCTCAGCTCCAGTTGTGAGGCTGAGATCTACGTTGGGGCCATGGCTGCCCAGGAGCTATGCTGGCTCACCTACCTGCTGACCGACTTGGGAGAGGCGCCTCGTTCTCCTCCAGTTCTGTACGTCGACAACAAGGTCATGCTGGCCTTGTGTCAGGAGCACAGACTGGAGCACAGAACGAAGCACATTGCTCTGCGCTACTTCTTGGCTCGAGAGTTGCAGCAGCGTGGCCAGCTTCGTCTAGCGTACGTGGCCTCTCAGGCCAACACTGCTGATGTTTTCACCAAGGCACTTCAGCCTTGTGATCATCAGCGCTTCTGTACTGTGTTAGGCCTTGTACCTACTGTGCCTCACTTGCTTTCTTCTTGACTCTGCCTGTACTGTACTCTTTGTACATATACCTGCATGCTTATACTTGCTAGGTTGTGTTCACTGTATTGTTTGCTTTCCTTTATACAACTCTGCATGTGAACTGGCCTTGTGGCCCTTTGCTTGTGCTCAGATTGCGTGGTGACTTTGTGATCCACCCTGAGCTTGCTTTGTCTTTCTTGACTGGTCTTGTGACCTCTTGTTCTCCCCCACTTTGCCTATGGGGGTGTGTCAAACCTATATCTGCTATAGTCTGTTTAGGCTGTAGTGGGGTAGTTCCCAGAGGGTACAACACTTTTGTGTTCTCTACTTGTACCCACCTTGTTTCTAGTTCAACTATTCATTCCTCTGTTTCTTCACATCAGCCGTTGCCGTGGACTGCGCGACAGACTCCTTCGTGTCAGAATATCATTGTATGCATTATTCTATAACTGCCTGTAGTGTAGACTTGGTGTAGTGCTAAACTTGTTTGGTGGTGCACCTCGGTTGCTTTGCCTATATCTTGTACTTTCTTCTCTTAGTGAACATCTTTTCCTCTCTCACTTTTTACTCTCGACAATTGCCTAGCTCACACCCTAGCTATGGCTCCCTAGCTTATGAGCTCATCTCAACATGCTATCAGAGTAGTTCGTTCCTAGGACCTAACATTCATGGGCCCACCACCTACTGCCCTGCTAGCCTAGGCCCCGGCCCGTAGCCCCTGGGCGTCGCCCCTAGCCCCTAGGCTCGGCCCCTAGGCCCCGTCACTCACGGCCCCTCAGCCCCGTCGCTCACAGCCCCTAGGCCCCGGCCCGTCGCTGCCCCTAGCCGCGCCCCTCGGCCCCCTTGGCCCCGTCGACCCCGTCGCCCCTAGCCGCGCCTCTCGGCCCCGTTGGCCCCGTCGCCCCTTGCCGCGCCCCACGGTCCCGTTGGCCCCGTCGACCCCGTCGCCCCTAGCCGCGCCACTCGGCCCGTTGGCCCCGTCGCCCCTAGCTGCGCCCCACGGTCCCGTTGGCCCCGTCGATCCCGTCGCCCCTAGCCGCGCCACTCGGCCCCGTTGGCCCCGTCGCCCCTAGCCGCGCCCCTCGGCCCCGTTGGCCCCGTCGACCCCGTCGCCCCTAGCCGCGCCACTCGGCCCCGTTGGCCCCGTCGCCCCTAGCCGCGCCCCTCGGCCCCGTTGGCCCCGTCGACCCCGTCGCCCCTAGCCGCGCCTCTCGGCCCCGTTGGCCCCGTCGCCCCTAGCCGCGCCCCTCGGCCCCCTTGGCCCCATCACCCCTAGCCGCGGCCCCTAGGCCCCGTCGCCCCCAGCTGCGGCCCCTCGCGTCCCCAGGCCCCGTCGCCTCGGCCCCTTGGCCCCGTCGCCCCTAGCCATGGCCCCTCGCGACCTGCCGCCCCTAACCGCGGCCCCGTCGCCTCTAGCCTCGGCCCCTAGCGACCTGTCGCCCCTAGCCGCGGCCCCGGTGCCCCGTCGCATCATGGAGGGTAAGGGGGTGGCAAGAGGGGTGACTTCTTCCTGCCCACGTGCCCTGCAGTCGCACGCGCAGCTCCGCCCCCGCCCCCCTCCCCCCCCTCCCCCCCCTCCATGGGGACGGGGGGGAGAGGGTGTGAGGGGGTGGCGGATGTGCCTCAGCAGCAGCAGCTGCCTCCACGCCTCCTCCTCTCTCTCTCTCTCCCTGCCGCACCCTGTGTTGGGAGGGGGGGGGGAGCTTGGAGGTTCAGGGGGAGGCAGGAGGGGATCTGCTGCACCAGCCCCCCCCCCGCCCCCCCTTTCTCCTCCATCCCTGGCGGGTGAAGGATTGTGGAGCAGCAGTGGGGGGGAGGGGATCTGCAGCACCAGCCCCCCCCGCCCCCCCCTTCTCCTCCACCCCCCTGCTGCGGGTGCAGCAGTGGGGGGGAGGGGATCTGCAGCACCAACCCCCCCCGTCCTCCCCCTTCTCCTTCATCCCTGGGGGGTGACGGATAGTGGAGCAGCAGTGGGGGGGAGGGGATCTGCAGCATCAGCCCCCCCCCCCCCCGCCCCCCCTTCTCCTCTCTCTCTCCCTGCCGCACCTTGTGTTGGGAAGGGGGGGGGGAGCTTGGAGGTTAAGGGGGTGGCAGGAGGGGATCTGCTGCTGCCACGCCTCCTCCCCTCTCACGGCTGCGCCTGCTGCTGTGGGGGGAGAGTATGGGGGAGCTTGGAGGTTCAGCGGGTGGCAGGAGGGGATCTGCAGCACCAGCCCCCCCCCCCCCCTCCCTTCTCCTCCATCCCCCTGCTGTGGGTGCAGCAGTGGGGGGGAGGGGATCTGCAGCACCAGCCCCCCCCCCCCTCCCTTCTCCTCCATCATCCTGCTGCGGGTGCAGCAGTTGGGGGGAGAGGATCTGCAGCCCTGTGCGCCCCGCGCGCCCTGCTTCCCTGCAGCCCTGCGCGCCCTGCTGTCCTGCTGCCCTGCTGCCCTGTGCGCCCCGCGCGCCCTGCAGCCCTGCTGCGCCCCGCGCGCCCTGCTGCCCTGCTGCCCTGTGCGCCCCACGCGCCCTGCAGCCCTGCTCGCCCTGCGCGCCCTGCTGTCCTGCTGCCCTGCGTGCCCTGCGCGCACTGCAGCCCTGCGCGCCCCGCGCGCCCTGCTGCCCTGCAGCCCTGTGCGCCCTGCTGCCCTGCAGCCCTGTGCGCCCTGCTGCCCTGTGCGCCCCGCGCGCCCTGCAGCCCTACTGCGCCCCATGCGCCCTGCTGTCCTGCTGCCCTGTGCACCCTGCGCGCCCTGCAGCCCTGTACGCCCTGCTGCCCTGCAGCCCTGCGCGCCCCGCGCGCCCTGCTGCCCTGCAGCCCTGTGCGCCCTGCTGCCCTGCAGCCCTGCGCGCCCTGCTGCCCTGCAGCCCTGTGCGCCCTGCTGCCCTGTGCGCCCCGCGCGCCCTGCGGCCCTGCGCGCCCCGCGCGCCCTGCTGTCCTGCTGCCCTGCGCGCCCTGCAGCCCTGCGCGCCCCGCGCGCCCTGCTGCCCTGCAGCCCTGTGCGCCCTGCTGCCCTGCAGCCCTGTGCGCCTCTGCTACCCTGCTGCCCTGTGCGCCCCGCGCGCCCTGCTGCTGCCGCTACAGCCCTTGTTGTTGCCGCTACAGCCCTTGCTGCTGCCGCTACAGCCCTTGCTGCTGCCGCTACAGCCCTTGCTGCTGCCGCCCGCTACAGCCCATGCTGCTGCCGCTACAGCCCTTGCTGCTGCTGCTACAGTCCTTGCTACGGCCGCTACAGCCCTTCCTGCTGTCCTGCGCGCCCCGCGCGCCCTGCAGCCCTGCGCGCCACACACGCCCTGCTGTCTTGTGCGCCCCGTGCGCCCTGCTGCCCTCTGCACGCGCATCTGCAGCCCCATGCACAGCCCCTACCCCGCCCCCCCCCTTCCCCCCTTTTCTCCTCCCTCTCCCTGCTGCACGTGCAGCAGTTGGGGTTGGGGGGTGGGGAGGGGAGGGGAGGGTGTGGGTGGCGGGTGACAGAGCTGCAGCAACTCCCGCCACGCCTCCTCCTCTCTCTCCTCACTGCTGCTGCTACTGCTGTACGGGGGGAGGTTGGGGGGTGCTGTGAGTCCAGCTGCAGCATCAGCCGCCTCCTCCTTATTTGCCATCTCCTTCTTCTGCTGCGCAGGGTGTACCCCTTCAGGGGGTGTTTCTGCACATGATTCTTCACTGCAGGCAGTTAGGGGGTGTGTCAGAATATCATTGTATGCATTATTCTATAACTGCGTGTAGTGTAGACTTAGTGTAGTGCTAAACTTGTTTGGTGGTGCACCTTGGTTGCTTTGCCTATATCTTGTACTTTCTTCTCTTAGTGAACATCTTTTCCTCTCTCACTTTTTACTCTCGACAATTGCCTAGCTCACACCCTAGCTATGGCTCCCTAGCTTATGAGCTCATCTCAACACTTCGATGCGGAGGAACAATATCCGAAGAAGCCTTTGTAACAGTTATCATCGCCGGCCTCGGTCCTCATTGGCGCTCCACTTGAGCACTCCTTCGAGCTCACGAGAAAATCTCCGAAGCAGCACTCTGCACCAAAATTCACGCTGAACATCAGGATATGGATCTGCACGAGGAAAGACACAAGAAGAAAGCATCTGCACCAGAATTCGCGTTTCACACTCAGCGACGCTACAACAACAACAACAATCGACAAAACAACCGTCAGACTCAACAATACGTCCCACCGTTTTGTCACATATGCAAGACGTCTGGACATCCTCGCACACACTGCCCGAATCAGCAGCAGTCGACGATACCGCAGCGTCAACTTCGTCCTTCAAGCAGCCAAGAAGCTTCTACGCACGCACATCCCACCAATCAAGTGCAGTCTTCAACGTCTTCAACGTCTTCAACGACAAAACCTGCACAAGGAACAAGAAACATCGTAAGCTGTATGACAAGAACGACAGATTCCTGCATCACCGGATCACCACCGTTCTACTCACCAGAAGAACAACTCGACGAACGCACTCCTCGCCGCGAATCACTGGAGCCCAACCCGATGTATGCAGCCATCGCCCAGAGCGAGCCGTCCGGGAAAGATACTTGGTTCCTAGACAGTTGCTGCGGACAGCACATGTGCTCATCGGGTCGCTTCGTTCAACGGGAACATCAACTTCAGCGCGAAGTTGTAATCACCGTCGCCAACAACCAGAATCTGCACACACGTCGACAAGGGATTGTACAACTTCAGTCTCGAGAAACTAACGTTATTTTACAAATGTCTAAAGTTCTAATTGCAGAAGGACTCGGCTACAACTTACTCAGCGTCAGTCAATTGATGGCGAAAGGCATCCATCTCGAAGCAGACAGCACCACCCAGGAATTCAAACAATTCCACGGAAAGGGCGGACTCTATATCGGCAAGGCAGTTTTGAAGAACAACGTCTTCGTTCTTGACTTCGTTCCAGACCAAGGTACCGCCGACAGCGACGCCATCGTTAACTTCGCTTCTTGGACACATCCACCCGATCTCAATCCCGACTTCAGTCATGGAGGATTCTGGTATTCACATAACATACCTGAAGCAGAAAGGACAAGGGCATTAGCAACAATCCGACAAGAAGTAACAACATCGACAGCAGCAGAGACAACATCAGCAGCAGCAACAACACCTACGGCACCGATAACGGGCTCTTCAACGGCACCGGTTCCCTTCGACGACACTCCACCGACTCCTGCGCAGCAGTTAACTCCCACTCCACGCGAAGTTCATAGAAGCGCCAACTTCACCGCGGGATTTTACTCCAACTCCGACCTGTACAGGCGCTCACCCGGACACCGTGCGAGCGAATCACTGTGGCACGAAAGACTGGGACATCCAAGCAACACGACGTCAAATTTCACGATCAAGGCAGCAGTACTCGACAAAGACTCCCTACTTCTACCCGACGGCAAAGAACTTCAACGAGTCCGAGGCACATGCTTTACCTGTCCCGAAGCCGACTTACCTCATCAACCATTCGTCTCTCACCACAATCCAAGCGCACCAGTCTACGCACCACTGGAGAAAGTATACAGCGACATCCTGTATACTCGCGAACAAGGACAAGGAGCATATAACTACGTGATTACTTTCATCGACGCTGCCACCCGTTACGTCTGGCATCTCAACCTCCCCAGTCGTGACATGGCCTTCGAAGCCTTCGTCGCTTGGCTACCTGTGGCCAAACAAGAATCGGGAGCAAAGCTGAAAAGCTTCCAGTCAGACGGAGGAGGGGAATATCAGTCACAAAGGTTCAGGCAGTACCTCGCAGAACGTGGCATCAAGAGACTCATCTCGCTTCCCTACGCCCATCAACAGCAAGGCGTGGCAGAGCAGATGAACATAACTCTCCAGAACACATGCGCAAACTGTTGCATGGCATGCGACTGCCCAACCACCAGTGGTCTGAGGCGATGGACCACGCTGTCATGCTGCACAACTTGCTCTCGTCATCATCACTCCCGAACAATGCATCACCGCACCTCCTGTGGACAGGAAAATTGGGCAACACAAAAATGTTACGAGTTTTCGGGTGCATGGTACAGTACAGACCGCACACTGCGAGAGCCGGAAGATTTTCTCAACGTGCACAGTTGGGACTACACCTGGGCATCGAAAAGCATTACAACGCATGGAAGATTTTCGACATCCACTCGAAAGAAACAGTAGCAGCACGTGATGTCGTTTTCTACGAGCGACTCACCCTTCAAACGTACCTGGACAACCTGGCAGCAAATCGAGACCTCACAGGCGGCTTCCGTGGCAACCGAGCCTTCGCTTCAGCAGCAGACGAAGCTGAATGGGACGAGCAGAACGTGGATGGAGCTTTGGAAGAAGCCGGACCTCTCCCGTATTGCTCCGTGCCCATCCCGATGGATGACGAAAACCCTCGCGAAAGTGTCAACGCCGAAACCTACTTCGACTTCGCCGACACAGGTTACGTTACACCCCAACCGGTCGACACCAACGTCTCCGAACGCATAGGACCAAATTTCTTACCGGATCCAGAAGTAGGAGATGAAGCAGCTTATCCCGAGGACGCAAATCTCCCCCGCTACACACAGAGTGGACTGCAGATACTGGGACTCGTCACTGCTGTCCACGGAGCAGCACCACCTAAGGAGCCTGCCAACATCCAGCAGGCTCTGGGGGGGGAACACAGGGAAAAATGGCGTGAAGCCATGGACAGAGAGTTAAAGGCGCTGCAAGAACGCAATGTCAGATTTATATGACATAGCTACTGTAGGCTATAGTGGGGTGGCACATATGGGGTACAGTTTTCTAGGGTTTGCTTTTTGTACCAAACTTTCACTTAATCATTTCATTCCTCGTTTCTTCTCATGGTATCGAGCAGGTTCCCTAGTGGGAACGATTCCTAGGGCCCACCACCACGAAATTAATTTTTTTTTTCCTGCCCGGAGCGCGTTTTGCTCCGGCCCGAGTCGCGCCGCCCCTACGGCCCTTCGCGCCACCCTTTCGGCCCGTCGCGCCCGTCGCGCCTGTCGCGCCCGTCGCGCCCGTCGCGCCCGTCGCGCCCGTCGCGCCCGTCGCGCCCATCGCCACCTTACGCGGCCCCGCCACCTACCTTCGCGGCCCCGCCACCTACCTGTGCGGCCCCGCCACCTACCTCCGCGGCCCCGCCACCTACCTGTGCGGCCCCGCCACCTACCTCCGCGGCCCCGCCTCCTACCTGTGCGGCCCCGCCACCTACCTTCGCGGCCCCGCCACCTGACTGTGCGGCCCCGCCACCTACCTCTGTGGCCCCGCCACCTACCTCCGCGGCCCCGCCACTTGCCTGTGCGGCCCCGCCATCTACCAGCGGCCCCGCCACCTACATGCGGCCCCGCCACCTACTAGCGGCCCCGCCACCTACCTGCGGCCCCGCCACCTACCTTTGCGGCCCCGCCGCCTCCTCTCAGCGGCCCCGCCGCCTCCTCCCAGCGGCCCCGGACGCCGCCCTCTCAGCGGCCCCGCCGAGCCGCCCAGCAGCCAAGCCGCCCAGTCGCCGAGCCGCCCAGCAGCCGAGCCGCCCAGCAGCCGAGCCGCCCAGCAGCCGAGCCGCCCAGCAGCCGAGCCGCCCAGCAGCCGAGCCGCCGAGCCGCCCAGCAGCCGAGCCGCCGAGCCGCCCAGCAGCCGAGCCGCCGAGCCGCCCAGCAACCGAGCCGCCGAGCCGCCCTACAGCCGAGCCACCCGAGCCGCCCTGTCTGGTAAGAGCAGTGCCCCTTTCACAGCACTGCCCTCACCCTACTGTTTGCGCTGCTAGTCTACTGCTGTCATGGCTACCCCTAGTGTCCTCGCTTTTGACGCTGAGGGTCGGGCCATTGACTTTGACGTCTGGATAGATGACCTGCAGCTTTTCTTACAGTGCGACAGGGCAGACGGCCTCTCCCTCTTTGACCTCACTTCTGGTGCCTCTCCTGCCCCCGCTGCTGCTGCTGACGCAACTGTTCGCTCCCAGTGGGCCACGCGCGATGCTGCTGCACGTCTTGCTGTGCGTCGCCACCTACCTACCTCTGAGCGTGCGCACTTTAGCCAGTACAAGAGTGCTCAGACCTTGTACGACGCTGTAGTTGCGCGCTACTCCTCCCCTGCCACTGCTGCACTTAGCCGCCTCATGCTACCGTACCTCTTCCCTGACCTTGCTGCCTTTCCCACAGTCGCTGACCTCATTACGCACCTCCGCACTAGTGACACTCGCTACCGCGCTGCGCTTCCTGCAGAGTTCTGCGCCAAGAACCCCCCCCCCATGTACATCACCCTCTACTACATAGTCACCCGGCTCCCTGACTCCCTTCGCGTAGTCAGGGACCACTTCCTCTCTGTTTGCCCCACCACTCTCACCGTTGACCTCCTCGAGAAGTCCCTCCTAGC